TTTTTTATTTTTTTCGAATTATCGATCACACATATAATGGATAAGGATTAATCTAAGATCAACGTGTTTGTTTTTATTTAAACAAAAATGATCTTGATACTTTTTTGATTGAAAAAAAAAAAAAAAAGAGAAGAGAGAGAAAAAAGAAATGAATTAACGTGTGTAAAAGACGTGTTCCAACTTCATCAATGAACAAATGACTCGTACGTAGTAATACGAGGATGAAAAAGGATCGTTAGAAAATACTTGCATAGGTTCGGTCACGCCACCATTTAATTCGCGAAATTTCCTATTCGTCTTTTAATTACCATTACAAATCATTTTTTTTTGTTTAATCTTTAGATAATTCAAAAGAAATGAAATATATTTGAAAACTTAATATACAAATTAATCTTTGATTAGTAATCATATTTAGAATTTCAATATCGATCCCCAAAAATGGAATTAAAAAATTCCTAAGTAACAATTAATAATTTTTTTAAATAGGAATCAATTTTTTGTTATCTTGACATGAGAGATTTTCAAAAAGAAAAAAAGAGAGAGAGAGACAGAATATATTGTGACTGTAAAGAAATATTTTGCAATTGGTTAGCAACACAAATTTAGATCAATGTCGAAATCTTGTTGATCCTTTTAATAAATCTTTCTTTATCTCTTTTATATTTTTCATTCCTTTTACTCTTACATATACTTCCTTCCTTCTTCTTCTCCTCTTCTTCTTCCTCTTTATCCTTCTTCTCTTTCTACCCCCTGTTTGTACGATTCATATAACTCATGCGTTCACCACGTTCGAATTACACCTCTGAGATAATCTCTTCCGAGTACTACCGATCTCTTAAGGTATGGCGATTCCAAGCTCTGCTCCCACGATCTTTTATATCTTTTTTATCTTTTTTATCTTTTTCTTTCTCCTTATCGCGAAGTACTCATCGAATAATATCTTTCTCTTAACCCTTTAATATTGTAATAGTGACTTATACATTATATATATTGGATTATTGGATAATAAAATAATGTCGACATTTGCAATATTTTATATATATTTAAATCTATATATAATATAAAGAATATTATTTTATTTTAGTAGATTATAAATAAACAATATAAAGTATTTTTCAATATCATTGATTTCGAAAAATATTCTCATCGGTTTTCTATACATACAATATCCGGTATATTTTTTGTTTTTTAATACAAAAATATAGAGTATTTTTATTTGAAAATAAATGATTAAGTATTGTTTTATTAAAAAATAAAACATTAGCGTTGTTTTCTTAGATATCAAATATCGAATAAAATACTATTCATTATTATTTACATATATATATATCAAAAATACTGACAATATCGTTATTTCTTATTAACTCTTTGACTATTATTACTCAATATTTTACTATCGAAATACTTCAAACTATATCACTCAACATACTGATACAATGAAATATATACAATTGAAAATCACAAAGAGTACAACTTTATGCAATAGAACATAATCATTGCAATGCTATATAATTAAATACAATTAAATAAAACTCTGAGTGAAACTTTATGCAATTGAATAGAAATTGAATCTATAAAGAGAGAGAGAGAGAGAGAAAGAGTGAGAAAGAGATAAAAGTACGGAAGTCAAAGTAACAAGTTAGTGTCCGGTCATGTTCTTAAGGATTAATTAATCGGCACGAAGCAAGTTAACGTTGCGAATGGCTACCGATCCAGAAAGCAATCCCGAGAATTCGTTACGGAACTCGAAGGCGAACTACTTTCCGTTCTCTGGGAGGTTGCCAAGTTATTTATAGCGTACACACATAGCATGCTATGGAACTGCAAAAGGAAATTCTCTCTTCTCTCCATCTGCCTTCTCTCCAAAGCAAACGACCGTTTTACCTTTTCTCTTTGCCACATGGCCTCCTCAACTTGCTACTCTAGTGTCATACCAATATGCATCAACGTATCGTTCGATGATAACATTTCCATCGATGTTATTTATCTGGATCAATTTTTTTCATATTTTTTCTTGTTCTTGCTGTTGGGGAGTTTGTTGTTGATTTTTTTTTTTAATAATGCACTGAGGATTCTTTTATCTTTTTGTTTTTTTTTTTTTGTTTTTTTTTTTTAACAGATTCTTGATAAGAAAAAGTAATTCAACGTTTTGTAGTTTAATATCAGAAGATTTTAAGAAATATGAGATAGTGTTTTTAATTTACAAATAATTTTCATTAGATTTGATAGAATTTTTGTTTAGATTTTAATTTCAGTGATAGGTATATTTTATTTTAGTATTCTTCAATGTAATGAAACATAAAAAATGTAAATTTCTTGTAACACTGTGTTTAAACTTTTATTTTATTTTGTTGTTGTAATATAAATTTCAAAGTACTTAACACCGTGCTTCTCGTTTTCATTCATCCTTAAATCATAAATAATTAATCGAATTATTTTATGATACTAATAGTATTTGTATTAATAACTGCTATATTTATCACTCACATATTACACATTAGTATATTATGATATAAATAATGAATAAAATTATATTTAAAATATTGTAGTAAAATACAAAATCAATGAATAATAATCCTGTATAAGTAATATACATAGAATTTCCTAAAATGTGAATAGGAACTGACGTGTAAGTCATAATTCACAGTAAAACAGTCTTCTAACTCTGAACAATGTATTAAAGAAAACAATCAATGAAAATCCTTGGAAGATAGATGACAAGCATCATCTTTCGTTCCTATTCTTTTAATCCTTCGTGGAAAAGGGATCTATACTGAATCGATCAAATAAATATTTCCTTTGGGAAATAACTATCGGTTATGTTCGCTAACACATCACTTTGATCTATTGATTTATTTATCGATTCGATGTCATGATCAAGCTTACTGGAATTTAACCAGGATGACGATGAATCATTTGCTTCTTTTATATTGTATATATATATATGTCTCGAATAATCCGGTTTTTTTTGTCACCCAATTATTTATTTTATTTCAATCAATCGATCTTTAGTTACTTCCGGTGGTGTTCTATTACTATTAAACAAATGTTCGATTGAGGAATCTCTGATTGTTGATGTTTGGGATGCTTATCTTTTTGATTAGAGAGAATACCTTCTTCTTGATATGAGATGATGATTATGAGAATGGTTAATTATTCTAGAAATTATATATATATATGTTATTCTTAATATTTCCCTATAAAGAATTCTTATATTTATTTATTATTTAATATATTAATTTATGTGATTATTATACAAGAATAAATACACACACAGATATTTATTGAACTTTTTTTGTATATTAAAGAAAAATTAATATGTGTGTAAAAAATAATTTTGAAATAGAAATTATATATATATATATGTTATTCTTAATATTTTCCTATAGAGAATTCTTATATTTATTTATTATTTAATATATTAAAATTTATGTGATTATTATATAAGTATAAATATACACAGATATTTATTGGACTTTTTTTGTATATTAAAGAAAAATTAATATGTGTGTAAAAAATAATTTTGAAATAGAAAAAAAATATTTATTTTCTAAAGAAAGAGAGAGAGAGATATTTATATTTGACTTAAAATTAGATTTAAAAGAGCACTTTCATAATCACCCGGTGGTTAGTAAAACGTCCGTAACGTGGTCCCCTCTTGCGTGAGGGTCTTTTAACAGCGTCAAGTGGCTCGTACCTACGAACCCTACAGTCAACACGATAGACAAAGCTCTCTCTCAGTGTGCATCTCGTTGTGCGGAGTTTCTCGTCGTCTTCGTCTTCTTCTTAGTCGTAATACTTGTTGTCAACCTTGTTGTCGTTGTTGTCGTCCTCTGTTGCATCTGCATCGTCCTTATCGTTATCGTTATCATCATCGATGTTGATCATTTCTTCGATCTAACGATCTCCAACTATAAATTTTTTCTCGCATCAGTTTCCCTTTCTATCACATGTATTTCATTTTAAATGTTAAAAGTGTAATCCATTTGTTCATCATAGAAATTTCGTTAAACTCTATGGACACAATGAAATTAATTGAAATAAAACAAAAATAACAAACAAAATTTCATTGAGTTTAGTACGCGAGCTGAAAAAGTATATACACCGATTATTATTATTATTATATTTCTTTTTTTTTTTTTTAAAAAAAAAGTCGATTAGAAAAAACAAATTTACTCGACAAAAGATATGAAGAAGAATATCGAATGAAAAAATAAAAATAAAACAAGTAATGAGAGAACGTATTCAGTTTCAAGAAATTGTTTAGAATATAAACAAAATTCGATATAAATTCGAACGATGATTATTATCATTTTTTAAAGATGATAAAATTATTACTCTAAGTTGATCATTATATTTGATGAATTGAATATATTATTTTATCTTACTTTTTAATAATTGAAATATAAATTCAAGAAATATTTCTCGATTATAATTAAAACTTATGATTCAAATAAAAAAAAAACAAAAATAAACATAATATATATTTAGGAAGAAGACATTTTTATGCTTAGTTTTCGAAGAAAAGAAAATATATATATATATATCTATATCTATATATATATAATTGTATAGACAATACGATGGAAAGATAATATCGAGAGTCGACAATGTCGAGTCGGCGATTTACAAAGCGTGAGAAAATTGGTTCGAGGGTACACGGACTGGCACGGATACAGAGATTAAACCCATCAGAGCTCTCTGATCGAGTCAGAGAGAGTCAGTCCCTGCAATAGAATACTTTTTTCGCACGACTACCCAACAATCTAACTAACAAATTCTCATATAATCACACGATACCATTATTTCTTTGAAAAAATTTCATTAATTACATTAACAAAAAATTAAAGAGAGAGAGAGAGAGAGAGAGAGAGAGAGAGAGAGAGAGAGAGAGAGATAGTATAGAAACATTTAAAAGTAACGCAACACTAAAAATAGAAATAAATTTTTAACTTAACGAGAAATCACATATAGATATTATTATATTATAATAATTAACATTTAAAATCTAATCGAGATTATGTGTTATTTGTCGATAAATATAACAAAAATATAAATAAATTGTCATCGTCATGGAGGATCATAAATATTTTACATTCATCAACGCACAACTTAACTTGACAATATATTACGTTTTAAGTTTCAAAAGTGAAAATGGTTGAATATTTCATCTTACCTTCGGGACAAGTGAAATCAAACTATTGTGTTACCAATAAGTGCGTATGTGTGTGCGCGCGCGTCCACAATTACCTGTGTAACTGTGCGTGTTATTGTTTTACATATGTGGTATATTTAGAAATATTTTATATCTTTTTTTTATCATTATATTTTTGTGCGTATGTATATGTACGTGTACGAGAGAGACAGGAGAGAAAAGATAAAACCATACAAGATAACTTACGAATTAATAATTAATTTTTATTTTAAGTTTAATCATTTCGGTGTTAATTTCATCGATCAGACTAAGTGGATACTTTTTATTATTATTATTATTATTATTATTATTTATGGTTGGTCACGCATTTATCAATATATAAATTTTCAAATTTATTTTTATTCGAGACTCTCATTGTTTATTCAGTTTGTTCTTCTATTATCTTCTTTGGATATCATTGATTCTCTTCGAACGCCTAAGTGCAGCAACCCTAAAGGCCAACAAGTATTTCGTTTTGCAGACTATTGTGAGATTATCCAAGGTGAGAAATGAATAAATGTGATTATAATATCGTGTTTAACAAATTCATTTTTTTTTTTTTTTGAAAAAAGAAAAATTTTCACGTTTGTATGAAACTGATACAATTCTCAGGAATATTGGTAATATTTACAA